TAAAGGCATTTATTTTCAATAAAAATTAAGGAAATAATCAAAAAGTTGAAAATAAAGTATCGGGTAGGGTTAGGGTATGTGTAGGGAGGGCTTTATTGTCCCAATAAGGTGGCATCCTTTTAATATTTGAATTAAAATTATAATTTACACTCAATATGTTATTAATGCAGATTATTGTCACTATTTGCAATAAATAGTGGTCTTAGATCTTTGAGTTCAGCTCATGAAAAATGGGGGCAAAAACAAAAGTGTTGCGTTTATATTTTTGTTTAGTATATATATAGAGTATGAAAATGTATGTAAATGTCTACAAAAATCTATAAAATTACATTGAGATCTTGTTGGAAGAACACACCTATTTGTTAAAATAAGTTATTGAAATGTAAACAATTAAATGGTTGACTTAATCTTGCATGATTACTAGATATAACTCATTAAAACTGATTTAATTCTGTATGAGTATGTCTGAAAAGCAGGCTTAACTTTGTGCTCATGCTTGATTGTAGAGGGTATATTAAAGCTACTAAAGCTATCCAGCTGCGAGCAGTGAGTGGCTTTCTCTTTTTCCTGTTAAAATTCGTGATTGATTAATAGTAGCAACACAATAGTCAGTGGCAGGTCCATTTACATTTCAAGGCGTATCTGATATTCTAACATATCACACATCCATTTTTTTGTTCTACCTGTTTGCATTCACTAAATACATAATCAACTGTTTATATTAACACCTCGGCATGATGAGCATTTTGAACAAGAAAAGCTTGACTGTTCGTGCGTGTAGCATTACTGCGAAGCACGAGCGCACTCCACAGAGCATGCACACAGTACGTGCGAGCATTGAAAAACAGCCGCCTGTCAGTCACACAACACTTGAGTCAGTACTGCCCATAATGTAGAAAGAATGTAATCTTGAATTTTTCGTTTAAAGCATCAACTCAGTACTGCAGACTCTTGATTATACCAAAACTTATGATAAAGTAATTTCATTGCCTTTGACTCAGAGGAAATGAGCACGTGTAAAGAACCATGGTGCTTTTTATCTGTCCTCCTGAGGATTGAAAACATGAAGTGATGTGTGGGCAATCCCATAACTGTGGCCTTTCATCTCAGCAGATCAGATAAACAGACCTTCCCACACAATCCATATGCATCTGAATCATTCTTAATCGGCAATGCAGACACTGATGAATTCTCTCTCTGACAGATGAATAAAGCAAGTAAAAGAGTCTAACATTTCAGAGTCAAGCATGGAATCACTTGCTCATATTGTGTATCTACAGCTAAAGTCAACATGAAATCAAAATTAACCTATTTACTTTCTTCTAAAAGAAAGCCTTTGTAATCTGTAATCACAATGTATTTTCCCTTTCCATTCATGTCACTATTGGATAATGTTAACCAATATTTTCACAAACACAAAACCTGCTTTTCCCAATCCAATCAACTCCCAATGGATAAAACACGGTCTTGCCATACATTTTTTTTATCATTAAATGTCCTATTTAACATAAATGTACCACATTATTGAAGTAAAATGGGTTTCACATTGACTTTAAAGTTACGGTAATCATCTCTGACATGTGGCATATGAGTTTATCCAGTAAGGGTTAGTATATTTATGTTAACAGAAGCATGTGTTGTCTGAAGCTGGAGTTGGTTATATGTCCTAGTGTCTGCTTTAGTGCTGCTACATTCCCCTGTCTGAGTCTATGGGAGAACACTGAGTGTTGGCTCATACTCTAAAGAAGAACCTGGCATGTTCCAACCCTTGAAGCCCTGCTCTAACACCCTCTCTTTATTTTCTTCCCCAGTCCCTTGAGAAAGTTTGTCTGAGGGGAATTTGTAAAGGAAAACAGGTCTACTAAGAAAGGCGAAGTAAAACAAAAATTCACAGCTTAGAAAGACCAAATAGGATCTTCAACATTTCTGTTGACAGAAGCTATCCAGAAAAATAATGAGCAATATGCTGCATGTAAAGAAATGAAACGACAATCATTGTAGACTACGGATGCCATTTGATCAGATGTGATGTGTGTTTACAGGATTTTAAGGGTAGAAGAGAGCCAACACTTGATGTTCTGCAGTGATAAGGGCTTCTCTAGGATTAGTAAACATCCTGGCTACATTTGAAGCAGCCCTACCTTGTGTTTCTCAGGTCGAGTCCATGAAGCCTGGGAGGACAAACACACAAAGCAAAACATGACAGAAATGAAAAAAAATAAAAGCCATAAAAAAAAAGTCAGTAGGCACTCAGTTAGACAGGCATCACACATGCACGCTATTCAGAGCAGACAGCTTGTGAAGCTCCAAGCTGAACAACTCGACTTTAATCAAATCAAAGACAAATTTCAAAGTTTTAGTAATTGTACCATACTTACAGGCAATAGAGATGTTAATAATAACATACTTTTATTTTGTATGTTATGTTTTTTATTATTTTATTTGGAGTTCTGAGTTATTTATAGGCATGGGCCGATAACCGGTTTCAAGGTATACCGTGATTTGAAATTTCACGGTTTCAAAACCGCTAATATTTTCCGTTATACTGTTCCTGCGGTATGCACTGTTTTTCATGTCTCCTCAAAGACTGAAAGTGTAGGAATCCCTCAGGTTGAGTGCAGTGTAGAGAGTAACACGACCTTCCTCCTCCTGTTGGTGCGAGCGAGCGGTCAGTCACGTGTGTGTAGGATGGCCGAACTTAAGAAGCTTCCTACACGATCGGCAACGGCTGTTTTTTGTCTTATTGCAAGCAACTCGTCTCTGTTCTGGACTTGCACAAACTGCGTTGCAATGCAATCGTTTTCCAAAATATAATTTATGTGAAGATATGAAGTCTGTAAATGCCCGTTAACACAGGCCAGAGACGTTGAAGACGGACTTGATATTTTTGCTTAAGGTTATCATACCGTCAAAATCTCATACCGGCCCATGCCTAGTTATTTATAAAAAAAACTTTATAAAAAAACAAGCGTTATAAATAAAAAAAAAATGATGAAAAAATGATGTAATTATATAAAATGCTTTATATATATATATATATATATATATATATATATGA